GAGGCCGGGAAGAGGCCTCGGTCGCCCCGGCTGTTCACCCCTTCGAACCAGCCCTCGATCTCCTGGTCGCTGCAGAGGCTCAGCACCTCGTGCTCCCGCAGAGAGATCTCGCCCGGGTTCTCCGACTTGAAGTCGTACAGCGCGCGGGCCCGCAGCAGCGCCATGGCCCCGCCGCCGCCGCCGCCAGGTGGGGACCGGGACGGGGACGCCGACGGGCCGCCAAGCTTTCTTTCTCTTCAGTTTCGGCAGTCAGAGGACGAGCCGGGCCGGGGAACCACTGGCTGCCGGAGTCCCCGCTTCACCCCGCCCGCTTCGGCTGGGTGTGTGTGTGTGTGTGTGAGAAAGTCAGGGAGCGAGAGAAAGACCGAGCGAGCGAGGGAACGTGTGGAAGAGGCAGGGCCGCCAGGGGACTGTCCCACCACGTCGCCAGTTTGGCTAATCCAGAGCCGAGAGGCAGGGCCGGGGAGCCGAGCGCAGAGCTACCGCCCCCATCGATGGGGCCAACGGGGAGGGAGGCGGGCGAGCGGGCGGGTGCGAAGGCCGGCAGCCTGGGCCGGGCTTGCTGCTTCGGGTCGGCTTCTCGCCGCTCCGCCTGCCCTCTGGCGTTCGCCCGGCGAGGAGCCGCTGCCTCGATGGGAGGAGGAGGGGGAGAGGAAGGCGACGAAAGGGGGAAAAACGGCGGCGGCGGCTGAGGGGAACTCATTTTGAAAGGGGGCGGGGAGGAAACATCGCAAATCTAAAAGAGACGGGGGAGGGAAGGAAAGAGGGCTGAGATCCTGACGAGGGCAACGGCCGCTTCTGAACGTAGCTGAGCTTACTTTCGAGGAATCGAAAGCTTAGCGTGAGCTTGGCTGCGAGTCCCGTGAGGCGACGGACGGCAGTCGACCCAGCAGGAAAGGATTTGGCGCTCTAACTGAAGGACGGCCTCTCAGTTAACGGAGATCCGCAACCCGTGCTTTAAATGTGAAAATACAGACTGAGGTGACACCTGGCCAAACAGAAAGACACCAGCACAAAAATATGCGCTGCGTTTTAAGTAGAGTGTCTTTCCCATCGGACAAGATGTGAAAAGTGGAGAGGAAAAAGCGAGGCTGGCTCTTCAGTCCTTGTTCTGTGTGCCTTGGTTCAAAATGTAATGGTGGACGGGTGGTGTAAACGAAGTGCCTCAGACCATACCCAGAGTAACTCATGGAAAGCTGGAAAGTTACTTTGGTTCTTCATCTTACACATTTAAAGTCTCCGTAGTGAACTCAAAGCTGCATCCATCCTGTCCGGGCACTTGAGGTTCTTGGTGGAAAACAACCTTTCCTCTCATTTTTCTCCATCTGCCAGCTTTTAATGTAACAAGGTAGAATGGGGCCTCGGTGGTGGCCCCTACTTATTTATTTTAAAATTTTATATGCCACCCACACTACTGAAAGGTCTCTGGGCTGCTTACAACAATTTAAATGCAGTAAAAAAAGAGAAACAATAAAAAAAGAGAAACAATTAAAATACTATTAAAATATAGTACAGGTACCCTAAAAATTGCCATCAGGACCCACAGTTGATATTATTTCAATTAAAAGTCTTCTGAAACAGGAAGGCTTTGACCTGACGCCGAAACGTCATCACTGCGCCAGATGAATCTCCCTTGAGATGGCATTCCATAGTCGGGGCAGCTGCCAAACAGGTCCTTTTGTCTATAAGTCTTACCTCCTCGAGGGATGGCTCTTTCAGGAGGGCCCTCTGACTAGATCTTAATTGCCGGGTAGGTTCATATTGAAGAAGGTGGGCCTTCAGGGCCCAAGCTGTTTAGGGCTTTATACATCAAAACAAGCACTTTGAATTGGGCCTGGGTAGCAACTGATAGCCAATGTAATTTAAACAGAATCGGCTTGATGTGTCTCCTAGCGGCCCCACCCCTCACCAGCCGGGCAGCTTGATTTTGGACCAGTTCCAGTCGCAGGACCGTCTTCAAAGGCAGCCCCACGTAGAGCGCATTGCAGTAATCTATACGGGATGTTAGCAGTGCATGTGTAACTGTCATGAAACTCTGCTCGTGCAGGTAGGGCCATAGCTGGTATAATTTCTACAGCTGAAGGAAGGCGACTCTGGCCACCGAGTCCACCTGGGCTTCCAGAGTTAGACTGGGGTCCAGGAGCACCCCCAGGTTGCAGACCCCATCCCTTAGGGGGAGTGCAACCACATTCAGGGCAAGGAAGTGGCCGTACAGCCTGTCCGGCGAAGCACCCACGAACAGCACTTCCGTCTTGTCTGGATTGAGTTTCAATGTATTAACCCTTATCCAGTCCATTATCAGGTGGAACAAGCTTCCAATCGAGGTTCACTAGGTTCCATCGCTCCTCCTATTTAGAAAATTTATGAAGACAGGCCTATACATAAAGTCCCTTCCAGCTCTGCAGTTCTTGGAATAAGAGTATTTATACAATGCAGCCTTTAAGAATGTATTCCCCAATACAGTGATGTGTATGTTGTTCTTTCTTGTTAAATGGTGTCAGGTCACTTCCAACTTATGGTGCTCCTAACAGAGTTTTTGAGGTATGTAGTATGTTTAAGGGGTGGTCTACCAAATCTCCAACCAGTAAATTTCCATGGCTGAGTGGGAATTCGAACACGTCACCTGAATCCTAATGTGACACACCATTCTCTACAATACATTGGCTGTTATGGATCCTTCAGTGAGAGAACTAGGTGAGCTTGGATAATGGCATTGTAATGACTGACTGTAAACCCAGTGTGCTGTAGTAGATAGAGTAATGGACTAGGACTCCGGAGTCCTGGGTTTGATTTCTGGCTCTGCCATAGAACTGTGTGTACATGTCTGTAAAACCTCACCTTGAAAACCGTATTAAGGTTTCTATAGTTCTGACCTGATGGCACCTAACAAGGACTGACTGCAATTGAATGCAGCACCAAAATAAAAAACAAAAACAAAAAAGTGGCCTTTGGGGTACTTATATTTTAGGGCAGCCCCTGGTAGATGCTGGGATACATATCTGAACTCACGGTAGCCATCCTTGAACAAAAGGATTTTAAAGGCAGATTATAGTCAAGTAGCTGAACAAAAATTCATCAGGAAATGTACTCCTTAAGGGCAGCAACTTTTAATCTCATTGTTAATGAGCTCATCTAAGCAGGGGTATCTGTATAACCACTCAGTTTTTGTGGGTTGTATAACCACACTTATGTGGTTTAACTGTCCTTTGTTCCTTCTGGCCATACCAGCTACTACCCCCCACAGACAAGCCCTCAATTAGAGGTTATATGCTATGTCTTATAAGAGGATTATATTAAGACTTTTCATATGTAAAGTTCCCTATTTATGAGCTATGCTAATTATGACCCATTAATCTTTATTTCTCCAAAACCTATGCCAAGTTCTATTCTAGTTCTGAACCACTGTGTTCCAGAAACTCTTGTTTATTGTGCCACACAAAGGTATGTATGCAAACCTCACAATCCAATATTTAACCCCCCAACAGATGCCAAAATTTTGTTCTACTGTTGCACCATTCTATTACAACCTTCATTTTCATAGCACCACAAGAAAGTGTGTACTGAGACCTCACATGTGGTCCAGAGTTAATACACACAAAAGCCAGTGTTGCCTATTCCCATAATTTGTTGGAAGTAGTCCCAAGGTAGCAAGGAAAAATAATGATTGGAATTAAGCCTTGTTCAGATTCATGGTAAGGTGTGGTGTCAGTGCTTTTACTTGCGTGGTAGAGGAGATACAACAGAATGTCAGTATGACAGAATTTCAGGATAACCAGCAACTGTTTCCTATGCCTTAAAGTTCACATCAAACTCTACAGTCCATGTGTGATGCTACCGTTCTACAGGTATGGTTATGCTATTGCTTCCAGTGCTCCTTGTTAGACTTGTTTTAAAGACCTCTTACACACAATGTATCAACATACAACTCTACTGCTGAGTATGGATGACTTGATTTTCAGTCACTGGAGGGCACAATTATGCTTGCCACTGCAAGGATAGTTGACTCAAGACTCAATGAGGGTTATACCCAGAAAGAAAAATTGATTAAATCGAATTACATACCACTGTATATTGCCAGTTTTGCAGAGTAAGATACTCCAACATAGTTACCCAGAAAATCATAAATTTAGGAGAGAAATTCAAGGAAGTATGTTTACAATCGGACATGTAGGCTTGTAGTCAATGCAGTGAATAGTAGCCAAGGTGCACTGAATATTGGCTATGCCACTGTTAACGGGCATCAGAAACCATTACCATGAAAAAAAATCGATTATCTAGGCCCCTGCCATCACAAGATCCAATTATGTAAGAACTGCTGGATAGCTTGGGGGTTTGGGTATCTGGCTTTGGACCTTGATTCCACACTGTGCCTCCCTGGCAAGGGCTGGACCTGTTCCATAGGGTTCAGCTCTTCAGTTATAAGATTATTATTATATCCAAAATGGCAGAAATTAAGAAAGGTGGTTTTGCTGAAAAAGGAAAGTGAAGGGGAAAATCATGTCCTACCTAGGAGCACATTCAAAATGGTTATTGTGGGTTTTTCGGGCTCTATGGCCGAGTTCTGAAAGTTGTTCTTGATGTTTTGCCAGTATCTGTGGCCAGCATCTTCAGAGGACTGGAGTAGGAACTCAGTCCATGCTCTGTTGCTCCTCATGGCCAGAGAGCCCGAAAAACCCACAACAACCATCAGATCCCGGACATGAAAGCCTTTGAGAATACAAATTCAAAATGGCTTCATATATATCGTAGCCAGGCAAAACCTTTACAGTGGTGCCTCGCTTTACGATTGCCCCGCATTATGACAAAACCGCATTATGACGATCTTTTGAAACCGCATTACGACGATGGTCTGAATGTGGTTTTTTTTTTGCTTTGCGATGATCGGTTCCCTGCTTCGGGAACCGATTCTTTGCAAAATGACGATTCTCCTCCAGCTGATCGGCAGTTTCGAAATGGCTGCCGGGTAAATAAAATGGCTCCCCGCTGTTTTCTGGGATGGATTCCTCACTGCACAGGCATCGAAAATGGCCGTCCTATGGAGGATCTTCGCTGGACGGTGAGTTTCCAGCCCATTGGAACACATTGAAGGGGTTTCAATGCATGTCAGTGGGCTTTCAATTTTCGCATTACGATATTTTTATTCTACAGCTGGAACGAATTAACATTGTAATGCGAGGCACCACTGTATTTTCAATTGGTATTCTGAAAAATGGCCATAA